TGCAGAGGAAGTCCAGGCAGAGATAGATTCTGTGGTTGGTTCATCCAAGCAGCCGTCTGTGACTGACAGAGAAAACATGCCGTACACTGACGCAGTCATCCATGAAATCCAGAGAATGGCCAACATTCTTCCCCTCAATTTGGTCCGCATGACAAACAAGGAGACCACACTGGACAAGTACACTTTCCCAAAGGTACGCGGTGCTTATTATTTGTTCAGTTAATTGGATTTGCTATTAGCATAGCAGTTAACCAGTCACTCAACTATGTAAAGATCATGTCAATCAAAAACAAAAAACAAACTCAAAATCCAACTGCCATCGAGACACAACAAGCTAATTATACTCAGCACACAGATTTATCTTTTGTTCCGGTATCTTCCTTTGGTTTCAAAGATCAAACATTCAAAGAGCAACAGCTTAACGTTCACTATCCCTGGTTCAAAAACATCTGCCTTTTTCGGGGTAAATCATTCCAAATAAAACAAATTATAAAACAATAAGTAGCTCCAACAGATGATAATAATAATAATAATAATATAAAAAATATTTAGAATTGATGATTTATTTGTTAAAGTTAATGGCCTAAAATATGAAAATGCATTGTTGTCTTCAGTGCTGCTGGTCATAAATTACCATTCAAATCTTACTCTGATTTCTATTCGGTAGATTTATTTATATATAAATAAACATTGATTGATTGATGTCCCACATGATTTTGATCAGCACAGGTGTGGTGCTTTTTTTTAATGTTTTAATTCATTTGACAACTTGTGTTTCCAAGGTTGAGAATGAACCTAGAAGCTGACCTTGTAATCTTTTTTTAATCATGTTTCTTTTTTGTTTATTAAAACAAAGTAACTTGAAGAATGCAAACAAAGAGACATTTCCCTGACTGGATTCTCCTCAGGGCACCATGGTCCTGCCCACACTGATCTCTGTTCTGCGAGACGAGTCCATTTGGGAAACTCCTCACACGTTCAACCCTCAGCACTTTCTGGACCAGGATGGAACATTCAGGAAGAGAGAAGCCTTCCTTCCTTTTTCAGCAGGTTAGTTGATAGTTATGTCTTTAAAATGGGATAGCTTGTAGTGTTTGGGGGTTTAATGATGTGCCCATCCATTCAGTGTGTAACTCCCCGCAGACAAAGGAGCAGGCACAAAGTCTGAAAAGTTAATAAAGATTGTGTGAATACATTGATGTTTTGTGTGTTCTCAGGTAAGCGTGTGTGTCTGGGGGAGCAGCTGGCCAGGGCCGAGTTATTTCTCTTCTTCACCACCCTCCTTCAGAGGTTTTCCTTTGCGGCCCCCCCAGGGGTACAGCCAACTCTGGAGTACAAGTTAGGAGCCACGCACTGCCCCAAACCCTACAGCCTCTGTGCCGTCCCACGATAAACCCCCAACTGTCCCAAACTCAACCTCACACATCAATAACTGTGTTCCTACATCTATCTCGTAACATATCAATATCTACTCTGTTATAATCTCTCAGAGAATAAAACATTGTTGGGACTTGGTTTTCTTCTATTCAATTAGTTGTCTTTTTAAGCTTGGTAATGTAATGTACTATATTTGTATTATTATATTTTTTGTATTCGGGATTGTTGGAAACGTTATTTCGATTTCTCTGTCTGTACACACAAACTGAAAGATTGACACTAAAGTTGACTTTGACTACTGTAATCAATATCCAATAAAATAATGTACAGTTTAAATACTACTACCTTCCTTTCTACTGCAAATAATTGTAGGGGTGAGTGGGTGAGCCAATTTGTACTTATGCTGACCTTTAGGCAAGGAACAATTTGATAGTCAAAGTCTTACGACATCAACGAGCTTTACTTCAGGAACTCTTCTGTCAATCAAAATGATAATAATGCATCGACTGTATCACAAAGGGCCATGAAAATATCACTTCTCTTTTTATTGTGGCTTATCTCGGGCTAAGTCGATCTGCGGCAAAGGGGAAATTGAGCCATCTGGGGTTAAATGAACCAACTGACTCTTTAAAGTTTAAACTTGAGTTGTTTGGTACAGGAATGTTGTTTCTGTCTGTAATTCAAAGCCAGTTCTCAGCATTTCTTTGCAGTAAGGCCATGGAACTGGTCAGCAGTCTTTGGATCTGGTCTGAAGCCCCTTCTCTCCAGGGACCATTTTGTCGCTCCTCGGTCTCGGTATTACCGGAAGTTGATTTGTCTGCGCCATCTTGAGTAGCGTCCCAGTGGCCTTATTTGTGCCGGAGGACCGAGGATCGAGGAGCGATAACGGAGGTGCGATAATCGAGGAACTACCAGACCATCCTCCGGTGAAATCCTCAGACACTCGCCCCGCCCCCTTACTGTGTATCGCTCACTGATTGGACGATGCAGCGCATGCACTGATCTGGCTGCTGTCAGACGATCAGCTGTGCGGCGTCATCACAAACGGACGTCGCTTCACGTGACGCTCCGGAGGAAACAACGTCCCATTTCTCATAAAACTCATTTCCCTGCTTCTCGTGGTTTCCTTGCATCTCTCCATGCTTCCCTGGTGGGAGGGACTAGTCGCAGGGAAACGACCCAAGTGAGGGACGTAAGGAATCCATTTAACCGAAGTGAAACGCACCCCCTCTTTCCTCTGCTGTTCCTCTGTACCTCCTGTTTTCACTTCCTGTCCTCCTTCCTCTTTATCACTCTACGCAGGGTTGACCTGTCAACATGTCTGTCTTTGATGGATTCTCCAGCATCTCCATCAGTGGCTCTCTCCATCTCCTCAGTCTTTCTCTTGGACTTTCTTAGCATGATGGCTTTTCTACAATTTTAAAAGTATAAAAAATCAGTTGTGTAAAACTACATCGAAATACCATGTTATACTACAAAGACTTAACTTAACTTCAGTGCCTCATGGGGGGTTGAGTTGAACCACTGGCTCACTTTACCCCACAGCCCCTTTTTGGAAATAACTTTCTATCGTAGTCCTTCATGCTAATCTTTAGCTAAATGATTCACGCGGTTTTACTCCTTGCTAAATAACCAACATGTATGAAACATATTTTCAGACCTGGATTTGCTTTGACAGAACAGTAAATACCTGACGTGTTGAACATCTACTTTGACAAGCCAAACATGGTTTATTGTGAAAGAAACACATTTACCACTTTACCATGTGCTTCTCTCCATCACAGCACAGAAGTGATGGGGGCTTCCTGGATTTATGGTCACATTTATGTGCACACTTCCTTAGATAAAGGGCTTGGGTCCACTTACCCACCGGCTCATCTTACCCCACTCTCCCCTATTCTATTGTTGTAAACCTTGTGGAAATAAATGATACTGAGATTTAGTTTGTGTTCTCATTCAGACTGAGTTTTGGCCAGTGAGTCAACAACTCAAAAGAGAGAATAACATGCAGTGAGTCTCAGCGCTGTTTATCAACCTGAGCATGTGTGATATAAGGAATCGAATCTAACAGGCTAACTAAGAGAAATATTTGGGTGTTTTTTTATTTAAATTTTAGAAGAATTGACCTCCTTACGAAATGTATTTTACCCAACTTAATTATTATACTTAAACAAATATGTATTGAATGTGTTTACCTTGCCATTCATCAGCACCTTTTAATTGACTTTAAAATAAAGGGCCAATGGAAAACAAACCTAATGAGGGTGCTGTAAAGCTACGATCATCATCTTTTCTTTAATTTGATATGTTACATTACATTACATGTTACTTGTTAGACGCTTTTATACAAATACTGTGGGCAATCCCCACAGTAGCAATTTGGGGTGAAGTGTCTCAGGGACACAACGACATGCTGACTGCAGTGGGGTTTGAACCTGTGATCCCCCTGATCCGATCACCAACGCACTAATCCACTGCACCACACGCCTCCGTATGTTACATGTTGTTCTCAGCAATCGGAGAGTCAACCTCAACTGAAACTTTGTGGGGATAAAGAACTGGCAACTAGGGCATGAAATTACTGGAGCTAATGTTCAAAGTTGATGCATTTAGTAAACCACCCCTAAACTACTGTAGGTCACTGGCCTCTTTAAGATGTTCCATTAAAGGGCCATGTCATGGCCATTTCTACTGATCGTATTTCCATTGTTGAGGTCTACTAGAATATATTTATATTGTGCAATTTTCCAAACTCACATTGGTTTCTCATACAGCATCTCTGTATAGTATGTGTATTCACCGGCATTCACTCTCTGTCCTAAATGGCTTGTTGGAGCTCCTGCCCCCCCTCCCTGTGAGCCCAGTGTGCTCTGATTGGTCGGGACTCGGGACGTTGAGAGGCTCGTTGCTGCGATCTGCTGTGAGGAGCAGACAGGCTTCCGTGTCAGCGATACAGCCAGACCAAGCCAAACTCATCCTGAGCACACAAACAGTCACAGCCGAAGTAAAAACAATAAGTGTAGCTTGATATTGAGAAAGAAAAAGGTTTATAACGCTGTGAGCATGGGTCTGCAGAGAGCATTTCTCCGCCATCCCAACGTAGTAGCCCGAAAAACGTTTACCCATTTAAACAGTCGTGGTAGATACCTTGTTTGTTTTAAACATCATAAATACAAACAACAATGAATACTTACAGGTTGTGTACCCGAATCTCCCGCTGGTGCAAACAAAGTAGGAACAGCATCGTTCTTCAGTGTCCTACGCTGTACATATCCGGCATGAATCGCTGGAAGGTTTGGGAAGCTTTGTTTCGTGAAATGCTGGCAGAGGGTGTGGCCTCTGGGTATCATCAGAGTGCCCAGGAAGTAAACAATGGAAAATGAGAAATCTCCAACGAGGCGTTTTGGGGCAGCCTAGACTGTTTTACTTGCTACAGGGTGTACTTTGAGGGCTTGTGACTCTGCAGACCGTTTACATGCATAAATACCTTCATAACACACAAGTAATAACTGGAAAAGCATGACATGGGACCTTTAAGACAACATTTAGCCAAAAGCATATCTCAAAGCAAGTCATCTGAGGAAGGTGTAACGGAAGCTTAAAACATGTTGAAGAAGAAGATATACTTTATAAATTACTTTTATCACTCACATTACACACATTGGTTGATATACATCAGGGATGGGCAAATGGTGACCCGGGGGTAAAACACAGGGCAGCAGGTGAGAAGTCTTCCTGTCTTCAATGCATGGCAGGGGGCGAAGCAGCAAACACTAACAGCCACCATGTCTTCTGTACACAGATGGCTGAAGGTGACTTTTGAAGATCACTTTAACACACAAAGTCATTTTTTACCAATACATATTTGGTGATTCATAATACTAATATAATTTGTTAACAGCTGCTGAGTCATGCTGAGTGGATTCTAAGATTCACAATGGAGCCAGCCAGCTAACCAATCAATCATATATTCAGTCTATGGCTGCAGCACAGGCAGGATGAGAACAATAAAGAGCTTTTTGAAGACATGTCCCAGTGGAGACACTACATTCTGATATGGACCTGAAACTGAGTCCGCTGTTAATGCGGGAACAAGAACACAATTTCATTTTTTACATCTTTTATCATTTTTTAATATTTAAAACTGTTCCACAATCAATCAAGTCAGAAACCAAATAAATGATACACAAAATACATTTTCTTCTTGTGAGGAAAGTTATTGACACGGAACAATTATTTTTAAACTCTTCTCAGTGGTCAATTGGTTTTCAACGATGATAAACATCTGTTAACTTACTTTTCATTTTGATGACATTTTTGATAACACTTTAGCTCCCTTTGCATCAACAAAAGTGATGCCAAATGCTGTGACCTTTTTCATCTGAATTACCCCTGATGAACAATAAAATAAAGACACACAAAAGATGGACACAATACAAGCAGCATCTTTACATCATGACGCGTCCAATACAATGGACATACAATAAGTCTATAGCATCAGATTCCTGTCACAATCATTTCTGTGGCCAGTGTTCCTGGACTGGTTGTATTATGTTTAAGGTGCACCTGCTTTTGGTTTGTATGTCAAACTATCAGATAAGCAGCATGTTGCTGACTTGAAACAAAATGGTTTCTTTGTTTGTGCGTATGCTGCCTTAGATCAGGACACTTAAACATCAGCAGATGGCACTTAGATGTCAACCCCAGGCACTTGGTAAGCATGCACATTCTGTAATAAACATTGTTTTACATTTCATTATGTAATCACAAAATAAAGCCTATCATTAAACTATTTTCACATATCTATTAACACTGTACAATCTCTCTGTTCACAGATGATCTGAAAGCCATGTTGCGCTGTCAGCCTGAAGGCCTTCACCAAATCACAGATCTGCACTCAGCATGGGGTTCAGCCTTTGTGACATTCAAGTGCTTCTTAAAATGCAACAGTCAAATAAAGCAGCTTTGGTGACTAGCTACGACAAAATCAATTGTTATACTGTACTACACATTTCCTTGATCTTATGATCTCCTTTTCTGTGCCTGCACAGTCGAGGACAGGGTGGGGGATTAAATACGGAGCTTTCAAACTTTGAAAACCTTTAACTTAGTTGTTCCTTTAAATACAGTTAACTTCTTAAAATCAAACTCAAATATCCCAGGGATACTTAGCAAGTTGGCCGCAACACGACTGTCAAAAAGGCGTTGTCATGGCAATATGACACCTTTGAAAAAATGTTATAAATACAGTGCTGTGAGAAACCAGCAGACAGTCTCAGAAAGCTTGTAAGATGCTTCAATCAGAGTCATCCAAGTCATTTGCATGTGTGTCTAGATTTACTCTCCTTTACTTTGGACAAACTTGCTTCTGTAAATTCCATGTCCATTATTCTCTCTCTTTTAGTTCTGTGTTGGTCTCCAGCAACTTCTGAGGAAAACATCTGTCCCTGTAGCTCCACTATGTTAGCCTGCTAATAGCTAACTGCTGTATGTATGCTCTATGGTAGTGGTGATAAAAGCAGGAAGCTCCATCACAATCAGCGGATCACTCACTATCATAGACACCTTTAGCCTTGTTTTTATGAAACATATCAATTAGAGCTGTTTCAGGGATTTGTTTGTATGATGTTGTTGAGAAATATGTTAATATTTAAAGCCATAAACAGAAACTACTTAAATATAACCTTTAAATTATGTTACCATAGTTGCAACAATCATAGTTATGTTAGATCCATTTGTCACCATTATAGAGGAAAAGTCCAACTCTGACCTGAAGTGACATGTTTAGCATATAAACACTGACTACCTCATCCATCCTCACTGACTACCTCATCCATCCTCACTGACTACCTCATCCATCCTCACTGACTACCTCATCCATCCTCACTGACTACCTCATCCATCCTTACTGACTACCTCATCCATCCTTACTGACTACCTCATCCATCCTCACTTCATTGCTTTCCAAATGGGACATTCAGGTTGATCTACAAAGCCCGGTCGTCCTGGTTAGTGGCAGATTAATAGAGTGGTGCAGCAATGAGTCCTAAACCTGGAAATGAGTTAGCATGTTAGCACATTAGGGCTCCCACGTCTCAAAGAGTTTTTGGTTAGATTCCCAAAAAAGCACTGTGTTAACACAACCTTAAAAGATTTACGTTTTTTTCTGCAACATAAAACATTTCGGCAAACACCACACTGGTGAATGTCTTGAGCTTTTATGTCATAAAAACAGCAAATGCTAGCAAATGTCTAAACGGGACTACTAAACCTCTGATTTTTATATTTACGCTTCAATTGTTATAAAACTACGTTTTAGTATGTGAAAATGATCCCACTGAACAAACGTTTAAGTATCATAGACGTGTCTGCCACGATGCTTATTTTTCAAATAATCCTAAAATCCAATGTCTTCTTTTTGTCGATGGAGCCCTTGTGACTGCCTACAAACATACGTTATCACTGCACCACTCTATATTATCTCACACATTCATTCAAACTGTATATAAAATGACTCCAAGGTATTGCTAGGTGTATGTTTAACGTTTTGGAAAGGGCCAGGCTAGCTTTTACACTGGTCTTTATGCTAAACTAAGCTAATCTGTTACATACAATTGAACATGCAGGCAGTAGTATCAATCTTCTATTCAACTATTTCTTTAGCATTACTCCAGCAGGTATTAATGATACTACCTGCTGCATTCAGCAAGTATCTACTTAAGAAGTCAAGCCAAAGTATTAGTAGCAACAGGAGCAATTTATTGAATTGATCAAGAGTTTGTTTCAGTATTAATGAGTCTAACTTTTCTTTAGAGTAGACATTCAAAACATGTCCTTTCTGTATTGGTATGTCAAGATGACAAATAACGCTCAAAGCCCTAATATGTAGTCGTGCGTTATTGGCTTGCAGCTTTGCTGCTTGATTTGATGGATTACTTAAAGCAGGGGCCTCAAACTCAAGGCCCGGGGGCCAAATCCGGCCCGCGACTTCATTTTATGTGGCCCCGCAAGAGCTTGCAAAGAATATAATAACTGTATTATACGGTTACATGCCGATGTACAGAAGCAGGTTGCCCATAATCTATGAAATTGAGTTTGAGTTTGAGCTACTGTATCTGAGTAACAGTAAAAAGGATTAAAGTTGCATACATACGCAATGGCCTTAAATGCTGATATATTTCTTTTAAATAATATGTGGGTCAAGCATTTGGAGACTGGAAACTTTCCCAGCATGCAGTTCACCTAACCCTTACACACACATATTCTAACATGGGCATTTAGAGTGTTTGTGGAGAAAGCAGCCCCCACACAGGAGAACAGCATGTATCTCCAGGACTGAGGCTTAGCCAGAAAGCCACAGAGCTAACTACTGAGCCATCTTCACTAGTCATTTTGAAATGATTAGTGATCAAATCTAGAGAAAAGGCACAGAGATATCTGACATTAGGGTTACAAATGTAGCTTCCTGGTCCATTTTAAACTGTGCTATTATGTGTTTCTTAAATGTTTCAAATAAAAATGTAGTGAGTGGCATTTGCATCCTCACAATAAATAAACTACTGAATGTTATTTCTTGTGTAGCCATTAGCTGCAAGCCCATTGGCTTGGCTATTAGCAGTTCTACCATCTGATTGGGTTAGAGGAGCATTCTCCTTGTCTGATTGGCTGGCAGCCAACCTATCACGTTCTGCTTTTGCCCGGGTCAGGTTTCTACGGTGATAGAATAGATAGCCTGGCAACAGGAAGCCTGCCATGGACATGATGAGAAGGCCCAGATTGATCTGTAAGAGGAGAGACATGTCAGTGTTGAGAACAACATGTTTTAGAATCTGTGTGTGTGTCCATGTTCTATACCCAGTAAGGATCTCCATTGAGGTGTCCCAGCATCAGGATGAACAGTGGCTGTTGCAGCAGGGCGAAGGCAGCACTGACCATGGACTGCATGCCTGTCAGTGTTCCAAAGTGGTTGGCTGGATACCTGGAGCGGGACATGAGAGAGAAATGAATCACACCCTGAAGCCCTGGATCCTGACCCTCTGACCCCCCTGTATGTGGGGTTACTTACACAGCTGCATAGAGACCTCCACAGCAGGAGTGGATAAATCCTCTCACTATGGTGTGCAGGACAAAGGACACCAACTACAAGAGAAGGAAAGAGAACCGACTGATAAACATGCTCTGTATGAGTCTGTATGAGTTTAGGTAACATAGGTTGTAATCCAGTACAGGTGTTTTTTAACCTGGATGGGCAGGTTGTCAATCATGGAAAGGATTCCGAAGGTGACCAATAGGAGGTTGGTGAAGATGAAAGCTCTCATGGCATTGGTCAGTTTCTGGATCTTTCTGTCTCTCTTTGTGGGATCATATTCGCTAAAGGGGACACATGCTAACATCTCAGTTTAATGTACATGTGAGCGAAAGTTTCTGAACATACGCTATACAAACATCAGCATACTGCATGTATACATCGCCTCCTCATACCTGTCCTTTGCATTTTCCTCTTCACACTCCTTCAACCTCCAGTCCATAATGTAACCAATCAAAGGACAGGTGGCAAGACACAACAGCTGCATCGTTCCGAAGATAGAGGAGTAGAAACCAACTAGGGAGGACAGGCAGAAGCAGAGTGAGGTCCACAGATACACGCCTCTATGTACAGTACTTAAATAATAAAGGTCAAAGCCTTCTCCACACTGTGAGGAAAACAATTGAGACAGATAAATAAGGGATCCTGTGACACATGCCAGTAACACGGTAACTGTAAATAATGGGATAGCTCAGTCTGTAGGGACTTGGCTTGGGAACCAGACAGTCGCCAGGACTGGTACTTGAGAGGTGCCAGTTAAGCTCTTAGGCCCTGTTAAGTCACCCATGAGCAAGGCACCTTACCCTCACACTTCTCCCAGGCACTGTATAGTAGATTCCAATTACTTCTTGTACTAGGATGTGTTAAATGCAGAAACTACATGTCACTGTGTGCGGTGCTGTATGCCGATTAAAATAGGATTATCCACACAGTGTTATTATATATATATATATATATATATATATATATATAAAATATCTGAATCATCTAAAAGCATTTTCAGAGACATGGTTTGTAGTGGTGATGTCCACTGTGACATTACCTTGTTCCTCCACCTCCTGCAGCAGCTCTTTTGAAGCTGAAACAGACAACAGCGTCAGGCGCGTTAACACAACGTCATGACCCAGCTTTGGTCAATAAGACCTCGCTGAGGATCCGTTTTGTACGTCTACTATATGAACGAGTGTTGGTGTAGGGTAGAATTGTTACGGTTTGGCTGGCCGTGCGTGACCAGGAACTCCAGCATCTTGTTCATGGCACCCATGAAGAAGATCAGCCTCAGCTGGGTCATTGCCATGGTGATGACACTCCACAGTAAGATGGGCGAGCACACAGAGTGACAGAGTGGCAGCCCGCCTGAAGAGAGAGAGGGGGGAGAGTTAGTTTTGCTGAAGACTGGATCCTTAGTTTATCATATTACCAAGAAAAACCGTGTCTGAACAATCTTACCTAGGCGACATAACTTCTAATGTAAGGAAAAGCTTGACAATTAAAACAAATCTGTGTATTAAGTTGAAGATTGAATCGTTAATCATTTGTAATGGAGCTAGAATGAGCTTAGCATAAATACTGTAGGCACAGCTCACCAGGCTCTGTTTAAAGCTCAAAAACAAGACTACAAGTACAACAAGAATGAATAATGTTATTACCTTGGGGTGGGCTTTGTGAGTCTGCATGCTCGGGTTCTGGCTGCTTGGGTCCCATCATTTCTTCCATGACAGCCACGTGGGTCACGTACCTGTCCCCAGTCACCTTGTCCTCAGTTACAACTCCACTCAGCTTCATCTTTTTACTGCAGACAAAGAGGAAGACATCAAATAACTACAGCCCTTAGCTAATAATGATCCACTGAAATCTACACATTTTACACAACGTAGTTAAATACTGTATTCTGATTGGTCTGTTTGGACAATCTGCAGTCCAAAAGCCCACCGTTGCTAAGTTAAGTACATGTCCAGTCATAATAATCCGCAGAAGGAAGCCCGTTTATTTTAAAACCTCAGCAGGGTTTTTTTTATATTCTTGTTTGTCCAAGTATTGTCCATAGTAAAGAAATTGTAAAAAGAGAATAATATAATTTTTTAAAGAGTAAGAGAAGGAAAGAGGTTAAAATACAGAAAGATGGAGGACAGAGAAATCAGCAGAAGACAGACAGGAAGTAAACACTAAAGGGAACAGCAGAAGAAGACAGACAGGAAGTAAACACTAAAGGGAACAGCAGAAGAAGGCAGACAGGAAGTAAACACTAAAGGGAATAGCAGAAGAAGGCAGACAGGAAGTAAACACTAAACACTATGGGCTCTGGCAGAGTTTAAAGACTGGTTAAAGACTGCCATCCAATATAGAAGCCAAAAAAAGGGTTAGTGTGTCTTCATGAGCACTGACGTGTATCTGACGTCTTCAGGTGCAGGGAAGGACTCAGCAGGCCAGTTCAGGAAGCAGTTGAGGAAGACTCCGCAGGCCATGGCCGACCACACCCACATGATGATGCGGAACGACACGCCCAGGTCATAGATAACCTGCAGCGGGGGATAGAGGAAAAGGATGAGTGGAAGAGAGGGGGAGAAGAAAATATGTTTTTAAAAAGTCTTATTGCTACTTTGTATGTGTGTCACATATCACTTTGATAACAGCCCTTGAGATCACAGCTGAGTTGTATTTCCTTCCTTCTCTTCCATCTACTTCCTGTCTACCTGTGTACTTTTTATCATCCCCCTTTATAACCATTCTTCCCCATCGTTCTTTCTTTCTTTCTTTCTTTGTGTGTTTTCAAGGTTCAAAGGCTTTTTTGTCATATCCACAGCTAGAGTGTGCTCCAATAAGTCCTCCAACAATGCAACATTAATATATATGACATAAAACAATAAAACAAAAATAAAAAACAACACAAATATTTCAAGAAGAAACAGAGTAGAAATAAAATAGTGCAAGACAATGCAGGAGAGGTTAACTCTATATATAAGTAAAACAGAATAAGATGATCTAAAAGTACAGTGTAAAATTAAATGTGTGTGTGTGTGTGTGTGTGTGTGTGTGTGTGTGTGTGTGTGTGTGTGTGTGTGTGTGTGTGTGTGTGTGTTGGTGTGTGTGTGTCTGTGTGACCAATTTGGCGTTATATCTCTGTTTTTGCCTGATTCTCTTACAACGCTATGTAACCCTCAGAGATGGGGTCCCCAAAATGAATGTTCTAATCTGGTACCCCCACAATACCCCAAAGGCAAGGATGTGTGTGTGAGTGTGTGGTTGTGGACCTTGACTCCAGGGAAGGTGACCGCAGAGGAAGCGTAGGATCCGATCATCAGGGAGAGGATGGTTGATCGTACGTTCCCGAACATGTTAGGCAGCTAAAGAGAGAGATAAATGAGTGTTAATATTAAACCAGTGAATCAACAATATTGAATATGCTGCTAAATCTATTGATCAGCTATGACCTTTGACCTTTTTCCAGGCATGACCCAGTGTACAATGTTAGAAGAATTCATCTATTAATTTGCTGTCCAGAGAAAACGAATGTGAATTCTCAGTGATTGAATCGCACCTTGAAAACATAACCAATAGGTGGTGCTAGTGAATCCCTTTACTCCAAACTCTGACACACACACACACACACACACACACACACACACACACACACACACACACACACACACACACACACACACACACACACACACACACACACACACACACACACACACACACACACACACACACACACACACACACACACACACACACACACACACACACACCTTGGCGTGAGAGTTTGTGAACATTCTGAGGCCGTGCAGGTGGTAAAAATGGAAAATAAATTAAATATTGTTTAGATATAAACTGGTGGCCTTCATATTGCATATATGCTTTATATAGCCTATTGTGGTTTTACCATTCAAATCAGCAACGTAATAATAACATTAACTTTGCATTTATTTTTTATACTTGCATTTTTAATAGTTTCTGCATATGTGTGACATTAAAAAAGTGGCATTATTTTTCATAGGCAAGGCAGGTTTATTTATCATAATAGCTTTGCTAACTAGCTAGTTCCCACTAAAGGTATATCAACAGTAACTTTGTGCATTCTAAATGTCACAGCCACATCTTTATTGGTTGCCCAAGTTTCGTTTATTGTTTCTTTATACGTTACAGTACAGATAACCCAAAAGTGTTAGCTTTAGCGTTTCCCTGCGCCAGCTGGTATCATGACCAAAAAGAGTGTTATCATACATGATGTGTGATGACTCTGCACATAGGCTTTACCTCTCACTTACATGTTATAATCGACACGTGACCTACAGTAATGTCCGTGTACGATTCCACACTGAAGTAACAATATGCAATGCCTCATTTTCATCCGTCTGATGTACTAACGTAGGACCGGGGTCATAAAGAGGACTCAGTAGTCGGGACCTTGTGCTTCCTTCAAGTTTTATTTGACATTTGCAACAACAACTACAGTTGAGTCGTTGCCAATGAAATGTAAGTTTCTCCCTCCCTCGAACAGGGCTATTATAATGTATTATAAAAAAGAATGCAGTAAAAGGGAGAATCCAAGATAGAAATAATCAACACATTATTGCAGAAGTTAAAATAAAAATATATTAATGTGATTGTTAGAAATTAATATATACATCTATAAAGTCATATGGGCACTATTTAGTGGTTTATTGAAATGTGGCGCACTTTATTTTTTCTATTGACAGCTGTGACTAACAGTACTGTTCGAGGCTCTTATCTGACAAATCTACACTCTTGTTTGTTTGTAGCCTTTATTTATCCAGGTTAAAGAATCCCATTGAGATCAACGATCTATTTTACAAGAGAGACCTGCCGCACATTGGTTACACATGTAACAGAAAACAAAAAAGGACACATACAACATAATGACCGGGGTAGAATTTACAAACTTATTCACAAAGACAGGTACCAGGAGTATCAAATATCAATTCCTCAAGCTGTGCTTTAAAATGATGCAGGGGAACCAAAATGCTCATTTTAAATATTTTTTGCCGAGTGTTCCACGCTAGAGAAGCTGCGCAAATAAAAGTGTTAGTGCCTAAAACAGTCCTAGCACTTGCGACTTTATCTACATCTACATTGAAAGCGTTCCTACTCTAAATGGAAACAGGTTGGTTGCTATCATTGTTATGTATATTTATTTAGATTTCTTTATAAAAAAGCCATGACCTTTAAGGTGAAAATAAAACAGATCATACCACAGTGCTGAAAGTAACAGTTTGCTCATTGGGCACTGGAGAAGAGCCCGAGTTTGTTCTGGCAACATTTAAAGAGGACATATTCTGCTGATGTTCAGGTGTATATCAGTATGTAGTCTCTCTACTTTAAAGAGTCCTCTCCTGCTGATGTTCAGGTGTATATCAGTATGTAGTGTCTCTACTTTAAAGAGTCCTCTCCTGCTGATGTTCAGGTGTATATCAGTATGTAGTGTCTCTACTTTAAAGAGTCCTCTCCTGCTGATGTTCAGGTGTATATCAGTAGGTAGTGTCTCTACTTTAAAGAGTCCTCTCCTGCTGATGTTCAGGTGTATATCAGTATGTAGTGTCTCTACTTTAAAGAGTCATCTCCTGCTGATGTTCAGGTGTCAGTATGCAGTGTCCAGTGGCGGTTCTAGACCAATTTGACTGGGGGGGGCCACTGGGGGGCCAGTTATTTTCTGAGGGGGGCCCAATAAATGCAGGACGAAAAAGAGAACTAGACAGTATGAAGTAATTGCGCATAAGAAAACAATGCAATACAGTTATTGGTATTTGTTTCAGTACACTTATTTATTTCAGATAGATCTTATAGTTATTACTGTTAGCTTCAGCTTAAGTTATAGTACAATGTTTGCACTAACACCATATTTATATAAAAATAAAGGCAATGAACAGTTACATCTCTACTTTACATAAGGGTATCTGCACAATCTCACATTACAGTAACAAAATCCTGCGTTTTTTGGCAAACCGAGTACCAGAAAATATACATTTAAATAAAAATAAAAAAAACTTTTCATTGTTAGGGGGGCCACAGGGGGGTCAGAGGTCAGTGTTAGGGGGGCACTGGCCCTCCTAGAACCGCCCCTGGTAGTGTCTCTACTTTAAAGAGTCCTCTCCTGCTGATGTTCAGGTGTATATCAGTAGGTAGTGTCTCTACTTTAAAGAGTCCTCTCCTGCTGATGTTCAGGTGTATATCAGTATGTAGTGTCTCTACTTTAAAGAGTCCTCTCCTGCTGATGTTCAGGTGTATATCAGTATATAGTGTCTCTACTTTAAAGAGTCCTCTCCTGCTGATGTTCAGGTGTATATCAGTATATAGTGTCTCTACTTTAAAGAGTCCTCTCCTGCTGATGTTCAGGTGTATATCAGTATATAGTGTCTCTACTTTAAAGAGTGCTCTCCTGCTGATGTTCAGGTGTATATCAGTATGCAGTGTCTCTACTTTAAAGAGTCCTCTCCTGCTGATGTTCAGGTGTATATCAGTATGTAGTGTCTCTACTTTAAAGAGTCCTCTCCTGCTGATGTTCAGGTGTATATCAGTATGTAGTGTCTCTACTTTAAAGAGTCCTCTCCTGCTGATGTTCAGGTGTATATCAGTAGGTAGTGTCTCTACTTTAAAGAGTCCTCTCCTGCTGATGTTCAGGTGTATATCAGTATGTAGTGTCTCTACTGGGACATGTCTCCATTCTTTAATGTTCAAAAAGCTCTTTATTGTTCTCATACTGCCTGTGCTGCAGCACTTCTTTTCACCCTCTGTCTGAAACCAGAGCCCAGTCTGCTCTGATTCGTTAGCTGGCTGGCTCTCTTGTGATTGGTCAACCGTTAAGAGATGTCCCACCCTTAGCCTATCACAGACAATGTGTTGGAGCACTAGCCAATAGAAGCTTGAGTGTTACATAGTGATGTCATTATGTTACTGAAGTTAACAAAGGAGTCCAATGGAGGCATTTCAGGCAAAAACCTATAGAACACACCACAGGAAAGGGAGAAACCCTACAAAGCCTAATCTGGCCTCTTTAAAATATAGCCACCAGGGTGCGTTTAGCTTTGTCTGTCACAGTCACAGACACGGGTGGTCAAACAAAGTGGTCAAATATTATTTTATTCATTTATTGGAAACATTTTCATGATCGCTTTTGTCGTTTATACATTTTAAGAATGGCGTTTATCTTTTTTGAGAATTAGTTCTTATTTTATTTTATTTATTTGGGTCTACAACAGATGATACAAATGTATATGTCAGTAAATGTGTACTAACAGAGGCGGGGGTGTTTGTGAAAACAACAGGGACAGAGCTGCTGTCAGACGATCAGCTGTGCAGCGTCATCACAAACGGACGTCGCTTCACGTAACGCTCCGGAGGAAAGGACGTCCCATTGCTCTTAAAACTCATTTCCCTGCTTCTCGTGGTTTCCTTGCGTCCCTCCATGCTTCCCTGGTGGGAGGGACTAGACGCAGGGAAACGACGCAAGTGAGGGACGCAAGGATTTCATTTAATCGACCTGAGATGCGGCCAGTGGCCGTTTCTCAATCTCGAGGATACTGGCTTCCAAGCCAATATTTCAAGGATGCTACATCATCAAGTGGCGCAGCAGGACCGTTCCAATGTCCAGCACACTTGGAATTCCACCGAGGCCGCGTCCTTGGTTTGGGGGAAATTTCGAGGCTGCACATGGGTAGACTTCGCGTCCTTAAAATCCCCACAATGCTTTGCGCACGGACCAATTTAAAAAACCCTTGTGGAGAATGGTTGAACCGACGCAGCACACATTTAAATGTAAGTATAGTGGCGTAGAACATGTGCTGGAAAATATGTTACTTTGTTACATTTGTTTGTTATCACCAAAAATGTGTTCCATGAAAGTAAAGCAAGTTCATAATTAGATAGACATCGTGAGGTATTTATTTTCGGTTCAGTTTATGTTGAAACCGTTAGAGAGAGTGGCACACTTGTTAGCCTGTTCCATTCTTCTTCGTTTTCCGAAGCCGTGGCTTGGAAGCATACTTGCTTCGTTTCTGAAGGAAGTGACTTGGAAGTACGCAACTACCAAGCCAACATCCTCGAGATTGAGAAACGGCCAGTGACTCACTATTGCCTCTCGAGGAACAAGTTCTTCCTCAACACTTCCACTGCTCTGCCTCTGCCCCGCCCCTAAAGCATCCACCTCCAACGCTGTCCGCCCCCAGGTCCTAAGTTAACCCAGTGGCGAACCGTGTCTATCACAACTGGACCTTCTGTAGACACACAGAAGTCTTTATCAATATGTATTAAGGCTAATATTGGCCCTGCTTAGACCAAGGACACAGAATATTTAAAATAACACTGCCCTACCAGCATTATCAGAGCGTGTTTAAAAGCTAGTTAGGTTAGCGGGGAATGTGCACTGTTTACTTCAAGTAGTTATGTAAAAGCTTATCAACTAGATAATACACACAAGACACAAACACACACCCAGCCAGGAATGACAGCAGTGAGGCCAGAATGACCATGTTAAGTCCAGGACACGTCTCTGTCAGGAAGAGAAAGGGGGAGGAACACAGGAAGGTTGACAGGAGGACAGGGCTATGGAGGGTGTGTTGTCCGCCCAGGCTTTGGATTGGCTTAGAGGCCGCAGCAGAATTTAGAACAAGTGGTACAGCATGTGCTGCTTTACAAAACACACACACACACACACACACACACACACACACACACACACACACACACACACACACACACACACACACACACACACACACACACACACACACAGCTTGGCGTGAGAGTTTGTGAACATTCTGAGGCCGTGCAGTTGGTACATTCTGGATTGTACCTTTCACACACAGATCACATGTTCATAATCTCAGGTGTACACAAAGCAGTGCTTGGAAACTGAACGCTGAACTACACAGAGGTTGTTGGACTCTGAAGGCCTACGCCCACTCTCCAGTCTGTGATGTCATGGCAGGTGTTTTGACTGATATAGAGAGATGGAAAATTGGGACACGAGGCGTCCTGGTGACCTGGGAGTCTTGCTGTCCCATGTTCAGGTCCTTTGTCCTGTGTCCCTGTCCTCTTTATAATGCTGCCTGTACGTCATAACTTCCACATTGATGAGCCCAGATGGCTTATTTTAGCTCCACATTGACACGCTAATATCTTGTGCTTTTCTATTGCATTTCAACAGTTTTTTTAAAAGAGGACTGAATGTACTTTGCATCATCAATTAAGATAGGACAGCTCAATTAAGCAAAACCTTAAGTCCCTAGCTCCTCCAACATGGCAACATAGTTATAAAAGACATAAAACAATAATAAAATAAAATAAATAGTGTCGAATAGAATAGTGCAGAGTATGTTGCAGACCAATGTGCAAGTAACGCAGATGAAGTAACCTATATACATGTCAGGAAAATGAATAATGTGTGTGTGTGTGTGTGTGTGTGTGTGTGTGTGTGTGTGTGTGTGTGTGTGTGTGTGTGTGTGTGTGTGTGTGTGTGTGTGTGTGTGTGTGTGTGTGTGTGTGTGTGTGTGTGTGTGTGTGTGTCATACTGTGAGTGAGGTGAAGGTCAGGCAGATTCCTCCGAAGCCGTTGAAGGAGACAGCGAGGAAGATGAGGAAAGACAGCGCTGATGGAACACATGGAAATAAAGAAAATAAGCTTTATTGACACTTTAAAGGTGCATTCAGAGTTTCTTTCAATGTGAGAGTTCAAATGTGTACTTTCATCCATCATTCAAAACTGACAGTGAGCACCCAACATGTTCAAAATGATTTCTGAAAAACGATGTGAAGAAAATGCAATTTCCTTTTACAACACACAGTAGGGGAATTCATTCATTAATTCTGTTCCAAGTCACTCCAACTGTTTGTAGCCGGTTTCCTCAAGGACTTGTAAATGCATTTATATAGCTTGACAGATAATTGAAAACATTTACAAAATAGGACATGAAGTTAAAAAGGCTGCATGCTTTTTCTATATCTCTGGTGGAGTATTGTACTGTTACTGTACCTGCAGGATCATAAGCAGCGGCAGCCATCATGGCACAGGAAGCTGCGAAACATGTGCTGAAAAAGAAACAGGATGTCAGAGCACGTTGACTGTGGCTCCAATGGTACTTTTATTTAATAGGTTGAAATCTGCGCTTATGTTCTGAGAAAAGGCAAATAACAAAAGACTGTCTGTCACACCTGCCAACGAGCCTCAGTGGGCGTGGCCCAAATCTGTCCATCAGGATGCCCAGAGGCAGAGTGGCTGCACTCAGGAGGAAGGAGCCAATGGTGAAGCCCAGGTTCAACACCTCCTCCTGCTCCGTACAGCTCGGCCAGGCCCCGCTCTCCACCACGGTCACGTTGGGGTCCACAGTCACATTTTCTGGATGGTTTCATAAAAAAAAAGGAGAATGTAGAGAACAGAAAAAATCCTCACTGCACTGAGAACCGCGACATGACACTGTCTGGGTAAAAATAACACAATATACCGCTGCCAACAGGATAGGCCCAGAGTAGTTAGTCTTTGGTCACAGGTCAATGCAAGAGGCTGGTTTCTCTCGGTCTGGGCTGATTTTTGGGAAGTTCATTTTGTCCGCTTGTTATTAATCACATGGTAGTTGCAGCTTTGATATATGGTCTTGTTTTATAGAGGCTCAAACCTTAACTAAATAAACGCACTGCTGCTGTTGCACTGCCAAAAGCTTTGCCAATGACTCATGTTAAGATGACATTATTAAACAATATGTTCTATTAGTTCTGATTCTATGTAAAAGTTCAAAGCTGGTAGAGGAGGCTTTAGTAGCAATATTAAGTTCTTTCATGTGGCTTGTGTAGAATATAAAAGAGGCTCTTCTTGATCCTGGCCAACGACCATCTGCATACGCTGAGGGTCAGTGTTTTTTCTAACTTCTAAGAGTACATTAACAGAAGCATCCTATCTCTTGTTTGACCCTTAATGTTACCAGCTGGCAAAGTAATCTTGCATATCTTGGATTAAGTTTCAACAAAAAAATTACCTAAGAAACTAAATAGTTAATAGTATCCAAAGAGACTCGGATCATCTTTTATAGTAGTTATTTTTAAAACAAGAAATATTGCAAAATGGAATGGTTGTCATATCCATCAGTAAAATCAGGCCTGGAATAGACTCCAAAAACAATCATGTTCTCCTCAAAGAAATAGAAACCTCCCTGAACCTCGAGCATGTCGGCACTAAGTCACACACCTAAAACATTTAAGCATCTGTCCGTGCCAGATGTACTGTACCACTATTAGAAATGTCCATGTAAAACAACCTGTAACACGATAACATTGTAGCTTTGAAATGATGGGAGAATGTGATGTGCCTACTGGGGATGTTAACAGCACTAGAAAGGACCAGAGGGCAGTTCTGATGGTGCTCTCACCAACACAAAGGTGTGAGTAGAAGCCTTCGCTCTTCAGCATGATGAGCAGTGAGCCCCAGCCCAGCAGCACCGCAGAGAAGAGCAGGTTCTCTATGATGGCTGTGACCGCCATCCACCACCTCCTCCTGAAGGCCTGGGCCAAGCTGGGAGCCATTGCAGCTGCTGGACAGGAAGCATGAAGAGGAAAACATTAGTCCACTGAACAGCTGGGAATCTGGACAGTCCAACAAATCTTAACTCTGCGCCAACATGCTTTACTACCTTTCTAATAATCTATTAGGAAGCTGCAGCTAATTCAGAACGCTGCTGCTCGAGTCCTCACTAACACTAAGAAAGTGGATCACATCACTCCAGTTCTGAAGTCTTTACACTGGCTTCCTGTGTGTCAAAGAATAGATTTCAAAATACTGCTGCTGGTTTATAAAGCACTGAATGGTTTAGGCCCAAAATACATTTCTGACCTCCTGCTAAATTATGAACCATCCAGATCTCTCAGGTCTTCAGGGACTGGTCAGCTTTCTGTCCCCAGAGTCAGAACTAAACATGGAGAAGCAGCGTTCAGTTATTATGCTCCAAATATCTGGAACAAACTCCCAGAAACCTGCAGGTCCGCTGCAACTCTGACTACTTTTAAATCCAGGCTGAAGACTTTTCTTTTTGTCGCTGCTTTTAATTGAACTATTCATATCTTAGACTGCACTGTAACTTTTATCCATGTACTTTTTTCTTTTAATGTTTATTTTATTATCTTTTCTTTTTAATGACTGATTTTAAATGCCATTTTCTTAATCTCTTTCATTTTTTGTAAAGCACTTTGAATTGCCTTGTGTTGAAAAGTGCTATATAAATAAACTTGCCTTGCCTTGCCTTGCCTACCTTGTAGTTTTCCCACAGAACGTTAAACCCCTGAACAGAGAACATACTGTTTCTGTTTCAAGATGTCCTTATGCATTTCTCATCTCATCTGTGGAGGCTTTTGCAATTTGTTTCCTCTCTATCTTGTGTGTGACAAGCCTAGAAAATCACTACAAGGGTGACCCAAAACAAGTTTCTGCAAATACAGTAGTGGAGTAATTCAAATATGTAGAAGGTGTTCCTTTATTTCATTTGAGTGGTCAGGGTTATTGGATATGTAACTTAAGATACTTTGAATGCAAGACCATTGCTTTACACTTTGTCATCATCAACATCTTTTTAATGTTTCGTCCCTTCTTGAATTACTTTTTCAATTTGAACTATTATTGTTGTAATTGTCTAATTTGACTTCATTGCAGTCCTTACAAAGTTTTTCTTCCTGTGCAAAACATGTAAAGCACTTTTATTTTAATTTTGAATAATGAATAAGAAAAAGTAGGGGCTGTTAAACTGAGATTATGATTACATTGTGATATCAACGGTGAGTGAAAATGTAACTGAACTTGGTCTGTAAACTATGATGCATATTTGGGTAATAACGTCTGATGGTGTTCTGATTAGTAAATACTATAATAATTCAGGAAAAACGTTCCCAACATAGAATCATAGCATGACAACATGTTTTTAAATAAACTGGGCTGTAATTAGGTTGTATGCAACTATCAGCTGTAATGACCAAAATAAATATACTGTATTCCCTCACCAATCATTGCCTGTCAGTCTTAATCCAAGTTTATTCAAAACACACAGTGGAGTTTTTTTCATTTCAATACCAAATAATTGTCTATATTAATTCTTAAGCACATTTAGCTAATAAAACATCTAACGTTGTATATCCCAAAATGACATCTCCATTTATTCTAACTTTTTGGCAGTATACTTTATTGTCCCCGTAAGGAAATCAGTTTTGGACTCCGTCCTGCAGTTCCACAAAAGATTTTTTTTTAAATCATAAAACGGCTACTACGTATAGTACACAATAAGTGGTTATGTAGTCATTTAGATCCAAGATCCCTCCGCTTCGCATCGGGTTCCCTATTCATCCTGAAGGGTGTTCTTTTCCCCATAATGACCGCTTCGCTGCACATTATCCCGCTTATGACACGGCCAGCCAGATACATAACAAACTAACAACTCGACTCCTAATATCAATTGAAATTATTTTTATTGACTTCAAAATTATCGTATTTCTTCCGCTAAGAAAAAAAAAAACTCCGTTCCACGGCGCACCAACGGCTGGAACTGCGACAACAACAACAACAACAACAACTTTATGGCAGCACTCAGCACTATCCAACTCTGTTCAGTTTCTGATCCACTAACAAGTCCTTAACCTCTGCAGAGCTCATACCGTGTTCCTGTTAGTATTTACTTCCTCTCTGCCTTCTTCTGGTGATTTAGCTGACGTCCAGCGCTCCGTCTTTTACTTTCTCTTTCTTGATCTACCGTAGCAACGGCAGGAACTGCTTCGATAATGATTCAAGCCCTTCTTAGACTTGACACATTACAAATTGTTTCACTTTACTTAAATATTTTTATTTAAGAAATAAACCTAAGTATAGTTCATTAGTGTAACACAAATTACATTAATCAATTCACTTATTAAATGTATTTAAGACAGAGCAACTCAAAATGAATTGTTTTCATTTTTGCACATCCCCTTTGCGCATGCGCAACATCCGTTCTGTCATTTGCCGCCTTTTGTCTGACACTGACTGGAAACTGACTGGGGAAACTGACGGTGGAAAGTCTATTATTTGGTAAGTATTTGTTTTTTCTAGTAGTTTAGAATGTTCCCTGTTTCCAAGTAATGCCTTTTCATAATATCGACAAGAATATTTGAAACCACCGTGTTATATTTTGCTCCGTTTTTAGTTGGGTCTAAACAGCAAGCTAGCTAGCTTAATAGATATGGTTAGCATTGAATACTGGATAGTAGAGATTATTAGATTATATTACATTAGACTTAACGTTATTGTCATTGAACACAGTACACCAAAATTCAGTTTAAATTCAACCAACAAATGCAAAGAGTAATTAAAGTGCATGAGGTAAAGCGGCAAGCTAGCTAGCCAGATAACTGGTTTGTTAGCTAGCTTGCTAGATACGGTTAGCATTGAATACGGGATAATGGAGATCATTAGATGATATTACATTAGATTTAACGTTATTGGGTCATTCTACAGAAAAGGTGGAAGTACTGTCACTTACTTTTGCAGACACCAAAATACATGACGTTGACCTAATACTCACATTCATTATATATGTTGAATACATAGAGCAGGGTTGCCAACTTTGGGTACCTGGCTGGAGTGAGATTTTGATATCATGGGTTTAATTACACATCTGCACACGAAATGACTGCTATCGTGTCAGTAGCGGGACCTTAGCATATAGGATATACATATACAAATACACAATATTGGACACAGACTACAAAGGGGCAAAGGGCACACAGTTTAATTCACTAATGAAAGTCAAACACATCTTTGTTTCCACTGTTTTATTGTGTGCCTGTCGCAATAAGCAATTCATTGACTTATCGGCTCCGGAGTGTTTTTGTTGGGTAATCTATGGTAGGGCTAACCCATACAGTGGTGGGGCTCAAGTCAGTATTTGCAATGTAATTACATACACGCTCTATCGCCCCCTTGACAGTGAAACGCCACGCGTGAGGTTTAGATTATTTCCCTGTCTCAATCCAAATTGAACTGTATGAAATAAAAAGGCACATTTGTCTTGTAGTAAATAAAAAGGGCGACCTGGAGCCAATCCTGCAACTTCCCCACAGGTGAAAGAGTTGACATGCTGAAAACCCAACGCCTGCAGGGGGGTCTGGGGGGATTCTTCCCCAGGAGATTTTTTGAAATACTAACATAAAATACACATTCTGGTCAGAGTTCCCGTTAGCCGGTAATTACCGGACTACGACCGGTAAAATATGCTGAAGACCGGCAAATCTAAATCTCTCCGGTCAAAGTGTCCGTTCAAAATAATTTCTGCTTAGCGCAATACCACATCAGTTGCGCAATTTGCACCATTTATGTGACAGACAAAAGAGTATGTGACAGACAAGAATAGTCAATTCTAATGTCCAACACTTAATGTGGAGAAAGAGATGTCCTGTATGGGTTGATTGTGCGTTGATCTGTTGGTAATGCCTCGGGGTTCCGGTGGGCATGTAAACAAATGCATAATGCTGCGCCATACTTTGTGGCCTCACCCAGTTGCATAGCGACACTTATTGTTTAGGTGTCTTTTAATAAGCAGGTAGTCATATCATTAGCTAGAACTAGCTGGATCTGATCGATATGGACATAAACGCGAGTGAAGTCTAATCTGACGGGAGAGAGAGATCAGCTGCTGCTGACGAGTCGACACGCAGCTCTGCATGATCAGCGGTGAGCGGACAAAACACACACTTCAGGTTAGAATATCACACGTAGCTATTTTAATGACCTCTCAAACTACCTAAACTAGTTATAGATATGTTTAGTTTTACTGTCGGGTCACTCATCACTGATCCGCGAGCTGCATGATACTGACGGGCTGTCAGGAGAGGGAGAGCGCTCCGTTTATTATTCCCGTGTTATTGTAAGTTACTGTTCACTTTTGAATAATGTAGTTCATCTACTATAATTAGTTTAATATTGAATCATATCAATTTGTTTTAAAGCTCAATAAATAACAAAGACCTTTGACCGGCACTTTTCTCATTTTGTCCGGAAGATTTAAACTTTAACGGACATGTTGACCGGCGAATAAATATTCTAACGGGAACTCTGATTCTGGTACTCTCATGAGAAGAAAAAAAATACATCTATTACTACACGACATATTTAAATGAAGCTGAACCTGCTGCTCCTCACAGAGAGAAGAGGGAAGAGGCTGTGTGAATTACTTTACATTGTGGATAAGGGTGGATAGCCCAAGCCCCCAGGAAGTGCGCCGGACTCAGATGAAAATATTCGTGCTGGCCAAACGGCGGTACTACACTTCCGTTTGGTTGCCAGACCCGGAAACACTTTTTCCCATTGACTTACATGGGGAAAGAGTGGTCTGTAACTCGTTGGATAATTTTTGAAAAACTAAATAAACTACCCAGTATGAACACTTGTATAGCCCTTATTAAAAACATTCGTTCCTCAAGTTGTAAAAATTAGCTAATAACGTTATTCTGAGAGTTATTTCCCTCTGCATTATGAACGCGCATCTAACCCACGGGACCGCGCCGCCCGGCACGTTCA